ATGTAAGTTCTTCGCTTTTCTCTTTTACCCAACTTTTCAATTAAGTTGAAAATAACTCATTTAGTTTAGCTTTACAGAACAACAGATGTCTAGATAAAGTAGGTAAATCATATTTTAGTTCAATTTCCTCCATTTGAGTTAAGTTTTTATTAAGATACTATTGTAAGGATAATTTCATGCAGCATCCCCATAACCTTGAAGAAGGTGTTGAAGAGTAGAGTTCCTGCAATCAACCCTTTAACTGAAATTTGAGCAAAGGAGCTGGGGGGGAGGGGGGAGGGGAGGAAATTGGATAGATGCACACAATTACAGATGACAAATTGTGCTGCCATCATATTGAGCACAAGGAGAGAAGCCAAAGGAACAAGGAAGGCAAGTACTGGCAATAGTTTGGCCACAAGTACTGTAGATTTACTAATGATCTTCAGGGATCCAGGTTTTTCGTTTCCCATGGAAAACAGAGGAAAAAAATGCAGATTCTTCCCCTCTGCCCCCCCAAAATGCGGATTTCTTTTTTTAATGGAGAAACCCACAGATTTTGCAGTTTTTCAAAGAGCTGATAACAGGACAGGGTTGTGCTCTTCCCTGCTGCTGCACAGGCATGGGGACACCCTGCCTGGGTGACACAGAGCTTGCAGCAGCAATGAACTTCCCTGCACACCCCTGCTGTTCCCTGAAGTGCTGGTTTGCATCCACTGGGCTGCAGAGGCCCCAGGGAGGGCAGCAGGGCAGGGGCCTGTGCCTGCCCCCACCCTGCACACAGATCTGGGGGTACAGGTCCCCCCTGCCTCTCCAGGAGTGCACACAGTGCTAGGGAGTTACCCCCTTTCCCCCCAACCAAGCCCACAGCAGCCAGGCAGCAGGGGAGGAGGAGCAGGACTCCACTCCATAGTTGGTAGGGTCAGAAGGGACCTGAGCAGATCATCAAGTCCAACCCCCTGCCGTGGCAGGAAACAGAGTACTGGGTCAAATGACTCCAGCAAGGTGTTCATCTAGCCTCCTCTTAAAGAGCTCCAGGGTAGGAGCCAGCACCACTTCTCTTGGCAGTTGGTTCCAGATCCTAGCTGCCCTGACAGTGAAGTAATGCCTCCTGATGTCTAGTCTGAATCTACCCTCTGCCAGCTTGTGACCATTACTTCTAGTCATGCCTGGTAGTGCTCGGGGGAACTCCCCCAATGCCTTCTGGTCCCCTCTGACTAGTTTATAAATGGCCACTAGATTCCCCCCTCAGCCTTCTCTTGTGGAGGCTGAACAGGTTCAGGTCCCTTAGCCTCTCCCTGTAGGGCCTGCCCTGCTGACCCCTGATCATGCAAATGGCCCTCCTCTGGACCCTCTCCATGCTGTCCACATCCCTCCTGAAGTGCGGTGCCCAGAACTGGATGCAGTACTCCAACTGTGGCCTGACCAGTGTCGCATAGAGGGGGAGAATCACCTCCTTGCTTGAGATGCACCTGTGCATGCATCACAAGGTACGGCTGGCCTTCCTGACTGCGTCCCCACATTGTCGGCCCATGTTCATTCTGGCATCAGTAATGACTCCAAGATCCTATTCTGCCTCTGCACTGACAAGGGAGTTCCCCAGCTGGTAGGTATGCTGCTGGTTCTTCCTCTCCCCCCCGGGTGCAGCACCTTGCACTTGTCAGTGTTGAAACTCATCCTGTTCTCATCTGCCCACCCCTGTAACCTGTCTAGGTCCGATTGCAGCCTGTTCCTCCCTTCTAGCATGCCCACTTCCCCCCACATCTTAGTGTTGTCTGCGAATTTGAACGGTGCTTTTTACCCCCTCGTCCAAGTCGCTGATGAAGATGTTGAACAGTGCGGGCCTGAGGACCGTGGCCCCCATAGCCCTGGCAGCTGGAGGCTCCCTCTGGCAGGGCTGAGGGGGATGTGGGAGGAAGTGAGGGGCACCAGCAGGGCCAAGGGGGGGGCTATGGGAGCTCTAATTTTTCATAAAAAACCCCCAAAATCAAATGCCAACATTTTATAGGCATTTAGAATGTAATTTTATTATAGTGACTAAGGCACTGGTAGGCTTCCAAATTGCTTTGAAAATGTAAATAAACAATGCTTTCTTGATATAACTGGTAGATAGATTAGATAGATGCCTTCCATTTTAATCATGAATTTTGGAGTTTTATCAGCAATTTTTTTTTTTTTTAAATCAGAGAAAACCAGGATCCCTAGTGACCTGTTACCAAGCAGACAGGTCATATTCAATAGGAAGAGGAACTTGCCACTTAAAGCAGACAGAAGTGCAACTGAAAAAAAATTGACTTGCCACTGAGTTTATTTCCCCAGATTAAGACCTTATAACTATATTATCATCACATGATCCAGTAAACACTTCACTTCTCCATGTTAAAGAAAGATGGCAAACAATAGCATCAATAAGAACTATGCTTCCTTCACGAAGTAAAAAACCTTGACAGTTAAAAGAGTAAAGTTTTGGGGTAAGATAACAGAGTGAATAAATATTTTGGAACACTTCTGTGAAACAGTAAACCATGCTATGTGTGACTGCAAAGGTCATTAATTCATCTTTAAAATGCAAGCAAAGAATAGGCCAGGGTGGAATAGAAACTAACTAAATAAAATACTAGGCAGGTAGGCCACACAATAGTGCACAAAGCTGCCTGACCTAGACCTTAAAGGAAGTACATGCTTGTCCTCCCTGTAACAGTACAGCAGCAAAGCGCTATTTTATTCAGTTCCACTTTCCCCTATTTTTACAGGAGCAGAGCAAGTAAGATTTATGGCAATTGTCCAGTTTCATATCCCTGCTCCATTTGGGTATAGAACCAATCATTCAAAAAACAAGGGCAAAAAAGAATATCAAACTAAGCCAAACTTTTACCAAAACAGCATATTAACTAAAATGAAACGAGAGATAATTAAATGCACAGCATAGCAATTACCCATAATTCTTTCAGATTTTTATGTGAAGGAAAAATAGTTTGCTTTTATAGATCAACCAGAGGAAAATAGAAAAGACATTCAAGATCTCCTTTATTCTAGAATAACCTAGAGGGAAAATACTACATGTCAAAATATTAACATTGTTAGAGATATGGCTGAAACATAATGTTAATATGGCTGAAACACAAACAGAAGCTGCTCAATTCTGCAAAAGGTTACTACTGTTTGAGAGCAAATGGAAAGTCCACAACAGTTAAAGTAGCATTGCAAGAGCAAGAGAATGTAAATATCAAGTTATCTACACAGACTTTGTTTTCACAAAATAAGTTCCCAACTCCAAAGGTATATGACTTCAAAATATTAGGTTTCTAAAACATAAATTAGAAAAAACTTCAATATATGGTGGGGACCCACCTAAGATATTCCAATAAAATTTTGAATGAAACTTACTGAATTCAGAAGAAAACATCCAAGGTGTAGACAGTTCATAAAATCATACTTGTACCTTAGAATTTATTAATTGTTCACACCTTGCACTGTCCCGTCTCAGAAGAGGAAGTTTCATGCCTTATCAACGGAACCACTATCCAAATTTTAACTTTTAAGAGGTCACTCTTTTCTTAAAGATTGCTTACCTTTCTGACATCTTAAGGATACTTCATGCCAGCTGCCTTCCACTTCACTAATCAAATGGACTACACTGAAAGAAAAAAAAGGAAGCTAACTCTAAATCTATGCTAACCATGTTATAATGTAAATAACATGCAGAATGTCATTTGTTCCTGGTACTACAACACTTTGTAATAACCTTTTCTGGTTTCATGCCCAAACTTAAACCTCATTAAGCTAACAATCATACCAAGGATCAGGGTACTTGAACAAGTTACCAAGGGGTTAGGTCAAGGTATGGACTTAAAATACAATCAGCTCCTGCAGAGTAAATGCCTGTGTGCATGCTTTTACACCTCAGTAAAATGGAAGGCAGCTCACATTTAAACAAAGGAGTAAGTGGCTACATGATAACTAGGGATCTACTGAAAACTCAATTTCATGAAATCCGGCACTGCTAGCAAGAAGTGGGCAATGCCCAACTGCTCCCCCGCAAAAGAAAACCTTACTGAAAAGAAAATGCTGACTCCCTAGAGGGAGCCAGCAGTCCTCACTGTGCTGCAGCCTGCTGCTGGGGGGACAGGGAGCTGCGCATGATGGGCAGCCTAAGATGGCTGACATCCCCCCTCAACTTTGTGGGGGGCTAGCTGTCACATGGCCCCACCCCTCTTCACCAATAAGCAGCAAGGGGCGGGGCCACAAGGTAGCCATTACAGCCAATCAGTGGTGAGGGGGGGGCCACCAGGGCCTGTTGGCCACTACACTTGGCCCATGGAAGTGGCTGCCAGGCTTGTATTTTCTCCATAAAATCAGCTAGCAGCCACTGAGTTCACTAGGTCCCAAATCATAACAATTGAACAATGGACTCTAGAACTTTTTAGATGGATAAAAAAAAATCATCTCTATCTGTTTGTCTGATAAGAAACTCCACGAAGAAGCATTCTATCAGTTTATGCAAAGTGGATAAAACATGATGACTTCCTTACTTAAATGAAAGATCTGATTCAAACAGAGGTTTCTTTCTTTAAAAAAACAAAACAAAACAACCTATGAAAAATATAGGTTGTCCAATTCAAATTTAAAGGCACAGATTTACTCTGCATTAAATTTAAGTAAGCAGTACACATTTTCAGTTTACACATTTGGACTGAAGCAGGAAAATTTTTATATATTTTCACTATGCCCTTACCTTTTATATCTATTTATTCAGTTTCATAATTGTTTCTTAATTTGGGATAAACTAGCCCAAAGGTGGCCAACCTGTGGCATACCAGCCACAAGTGGCACGGGCAACCTCTGTGTGTGTTATGTAAAAGATTAGAGAGGGGACAGACAGTGTCAGATAGGGCAGGAAGCAGAAAACAGAGCAGCAAATAGGACAGGGGCAGGAGAATGGAGTGGCACTCATGGAGGGTGCGGGGCTCATTTGTGGCACACCTGCCAAAAAGGCTGGCTCTCACCGAACTAGCCCAACCTGAATTATGTGCCATCAGAGCTAAACTCTGCTACTAGTACCAGAACAAAACAATTTAAAACTTGCTCAAACCATCTCTACAATATGCTGCAATCTGCAAAACAGACATAGGCTAAAATTTCTATTTTCATTCATAAAACGATGACTGGGTTTTAAAGAATCTACCTGTAAAAATAACTCAGAAGTGTTTACTTGGAAAAGTAAAGTAGCATCAAATCAAAGTAATCCTATTACACTGTAACATGCTAAAAACAAGTTGAAGATTCTACAGGTACAACTTCCAAGCTGTTTACTAGGTCTGTTTACTTCCATACATTTAATTTCCAAAAGTATTGTGCAATATGGATGAGTTTTTTTAATGGAGTATTTAAACAAGGAGTTGCATCTCTTTATTGTGCTATGTAACATAGTATACAGATGTTCCTGTGACTATTAATTTTAAAATGTATTAAAAGTAAATGTGTGTTAAAGTTACTATATAGACACTCAGAGGCCATTTTAATTCCATATTTTGTACCTAGAAAAAGAACTAGAGGCATGAGAGTCTGGTGCTGAATACATGACTTTGTAATTAAAGGTGTATTAAATTGTTGGGTTTTTTTTTTCCTTTTTAACAACTGATTGAAGAGCAGAATACAGAGCATATTTGTCCTTGGCCTGTGTGTATGTTATAGCTTATTTATGTGTAGCTTAAATTTATTTTTAAAAACACTTTGTTTTTCAGATGTGTCAATTTTTAAGATATTTCTTGGCACAAAGCATCTCTCTCAGCTATCCTGGTGCTTCTGATTTTGTTTCTGCTATCAGTTAGATACTATGACATTAATTTCTAACAAAGGCTGAATATAACTCTAGCATTAATGATCTAATACACTCTTGGTTTTGATACTGGGAGCCTCTAACAGATGCACAAAATCCTTGTCAAAGTAAATTTAAAAACAATGAAAGCAAAGATTCTCAGTACACATGTTCATCAGGATATGAGACTATTAACAGTCAGACTACTGTTAAACTAAAATCCCACTCCAAGCATCTGTTGTTGAGTCATGGCACCTCCCTTCCTTAGTATCAGGTAGAGACGCCTCTAAAAGGGCAGCTGCAGCACAGCATGGGAGACTAGAAACAGCAGCTGGCTTGAAAGTGTACTAATTATTTATGAAAAAAAAGTTACATGGAGTTTTAAAGATGGTGAGAGATATGTACAGTATGTGTAAATAGATCACATAAAACTACTTATGGAAAAAAGTAATGCTATCTTGAATCCTCTGAAGATATAATCTTCTTCAACTTTTATCAGAGCACTTGAACTGTCATAAGAGACTTATAATCAACCAATTAGCCATAACATTCAAAATGGTATACAATATTTGATTACTTAATACATCAGTTAACTAAGCAGATATTAATATATGAAAAAAAATCTAACATACATTAGTCCAAAAAACCTAAAAGCAACAAGTGCACAAAAGCTGGATTTTTAAAATTCCCTGTCTGTTGGCTACCTTTAAGCAACACTATTCAGACCACATCCTACTCTATTTTTTTATTGAAAAAAATAAAGATGCAATTATCATACTTCTAAAATCCCAGTGGGACCTTCAAAAGTTGGGGGGGGGGGGGGGGGGGGGGGGGGAAGGAGTACACTGGGAGAATATCACACCTGCACACTCCAAGTGCTGTGGCTGAGTTACTTGGTTACAAATACCCAACACACCTAGAAGCTACAAACATTACGAAGCAGCTATACGGGTTAGAACTACAAGAGTACACCTTAAACCGAATGCCAAAATAAAAGTTAACTTTCATCTTAAAATAAAGAATCCGCGTTAAAGCACCACAAAGAAAGAAGTAACTTTAATAGTTTCATGAAACTAGTCACGTTTAAGTCACTAGCAAGTACTCTCAAACAAAAGGGAGGTCTTATGAAAAAAAGAAATGGTAGGCTGTTCAGGGCATAAAAGCCGCAACTTCTTATAAAAAGACAAGGGTCTTTGGATAAATGTGCTATCTTTTATTAGACCAACTAAATAGCTGGAAAAATTGTTCTCGGCAAGCTTTCGAGCACAAACACAAACACAGACTCTCCTTATGACTGAAGAAGGGTGTTTGTGCCCGAAAGCTTGCCAAGAACAATTTTTCCTACTATTTAGTTGGTCTAATAAAAGCTGTCCCATCTAATCCGAAGAACCTTGTATGCCTATATCCTTAGACCCACACAGCTACAACCAACACCCCTAACAACTCCCTCTATTTACACAATACCTGTTAACTGACTTTGCCCTTACTAGGGGGAAAAAGGGAAGGGAATTTTTTTTTTTTTTTTTTTTTTAAAGATGACTTTTTGTGCTAGTTAACACAACTTCACAAGTGTGTTACCTTATAGAAGGCAACACACCGCATCATGTAGCTTTAACAAACAGCAGGAAAGTTAAACCCTAGATTTTAATCCCTTCCTTTAAACCAGGGGTGGGCAAAATGCAGCCCAAGGGCCAGATGCGGCCCACCAGGCCATTTTATCCAGCCTGCGGGGCCCCTAAAAAGTTTAGAAAATTAATATTTAGTTGCCCCTGACTGCCTGTCACGCGGCCCTCGATCGCTTGCCAAAACTCAGTAAATGGCCCTCCGCCTGAAATAACTGGCCGCCCCTGCTTTAAACTGACCTGCTAACATACTACCAACTGCCTTGTCTTCAACCAGGGTAAGATAAAGGGCACAGGCTGCCGCCACCTCCTGCAGACCTGGAGCAAACAGCACCTACTTTTATTACGTCACTTGAGTGGTTCTCAACCAGGGTGCCAGAGCACCCGCAACTATTTGGAAAGGTGCCCTGAGAGGCGAGGGGGTAAATGAAGGGTGAGGAGAAGCAGATCAGCACAGGCTCAGGCCTGAATGATGGTCCATCCCCACTGCGGGGCCCCTGCGCTGTAATCTGTATGTTAGTTTTGAAATGGGGTACCACTCAACTGGAAAAACAAAAGCGTTTCAGGGGGCTGAAGAAGGCTGAGGGAACTGGGCTTATTTAGTCTGCAGAAAAGATGGAGGCGATTGAATACCAGCCTTCAACTCCCTGCAAGGGGGTTCAAAAGAGGATGGAGCAAGACTGTTCTCAGTAGCGGCAGATGACAGAACAAGGAGCAATGGTCTCAGGTGGCAGCAAGGGAAGTTTAGGTTAGATATGAGGAATCAACTGTCTCACGAGGGTACTCAAGAACTGGCACGTTACTCATGGAGCTTGTGGAGTCTCCATCCCCAGACGTTTCTAAGACCCAGCTATAAAAACTCTTGGCTGGGATGAGATTAGTGGAGGGTGCAGCTTTGAGCAGGGGCTTGGACTAGACCACCTGAGCTCCCTTCCACCCCTCATTTTCTACCATTTTATCAATTCAGAGATGACAGAGGGGGAAGGGAGAGGAAGAGGCTGCGAACCACCAATATGAGGCAGGGCGCTGCCACACACCAGGGATGCAAGCTGGATAGAAACCAGCTCTGGAGTTGCAACACATTTTTCAAGCCTTAGCTTCACAGCCAGGGCTGGGCCTTTTCATGTCGCAATAAGTGACTCAACAGGTGCGGCCAGCAAGTTGCGCCACACATGCAACGTGTGGCAAAGGTCTTTGGCCACACAGGCCCTGCTGGGAACAACCCACCTGGACTGACCCCCTGCTACCCCGAGGTGCCAAAGCTCCCTTGAGGGCTGCGGGGCGGGACGAGACTGCCCTCACAGCCCCCCCAGGCCAAACAGGGCATGAGGCCCGTCCCAGCCGTTAACGGCCGCCATGGGGGAGGCCAGAACGCTGGCACGAGGCCCCGCCCCGCGCCGGGGGTGGGTGGGAAGGGGGTTCCAACCGACGCGTCCCACGTGACCCGAGGGGCGGGGCCTAACGCCCCCCAACACTGTGGGTGTGTAGCGCCCCCCGCCCGGCTACCTGCGCCGGCGCTTCGTCACATGCCGGCCGGAAGGGGCCCCAGGACCGCTGCCAGGGGAAGGGAGCAGGTGGGGCGCACCCGCGAGCGCTCTGCCGCCATGGAGAATTCGCCGCCGCTGCTGCTGCTTCTACGTGTCCCCTCCCGGCCACCGTCCCCGACGGCCCCGTACAGAAGAGGCGGGGATGACACAGCCACGGCCCCGCCCTGCCAGGCGAGAGGGGTAGAAGGGTGGTTCTGATCACATGGCTCCCCCAGGTGGCGCGGAAGGCGGAGCCTCCGGCGGGTTGACGTCACAAGGGCCTGGACACGCTCCCGCGCCGCGAGAAGCCTTAGTCGGATGTGGGGCGGGGCGCGCTCCCAGGCGTGATCGTGTTGGTACGCTCGGCTCGGGTGTGCGAGCAGTAATTGTACAAGCGTTCACAATGTGCCATAATGCTGGAGGCAGTTAATTAATGCAGCCTATGCAAAACCTACGTCACTCTCGGTGCTTTTAGGGTTGCTGTTAGCACTTCCTTATGAGCAGGGGGATGCTGGTGTTCTCTGATAAACAATTTTCAGATTTAAAAAAAGTAACCTAAAATCCACATTTTCCATGATCAAAATGGAACACCTCTATCTATCTTTGTATCTGTAGTGGTGTTTTGTTTTAATCATGTTAAAATGTGGGCTTTGGGTTACTTGTTTTTATCTGATTGGGGGGGAGGGAGGAGGGGTTAATCAGAGAGAACCTGGATCCCTGCGTAGCATTGCTTGCCTTGAAATACAGAAATGCTGCAACTTTGGTTACCTGGTTGTCACTCGCTCATTGGCATGGTGTAGTGAGCAGTGTAAAGTAAATAAAATGACTTATTTGACAGTGTAATTAGTCAGTGCACAATAGTTTTTTCCAGCAAACATGATAATTTTGTGCTTGTACTATGATGATTTTATATTTAAGACCTGGCAGGGGCAAGGTAGTGGGGCATGAGGCAGTGGCTTACGCTGGCTGACAGCTCTACAGGCTGATGGACACACACACACACACCCCCCCACCCACCCCCCGGGGCCTTATACCCCTGTGTCACAGCCTGCCAGGAAGCCAGCCAGGCACCTCTGATTCAGTTAGCTTCTAAGGTGCACCCACCTTCTGAGCTTCACATGCAGCCCCTGGCCTGGTGAACCACATACCTCTTTCTTTACCCTCTAGATCTTCTCCCCCCACAAGGTCAGCAGAACCAATGAGGGGGAATCTTCCCTCTCCAAAGCATCAAGAAATCTTAATACCAGGTTTGAAGTATTTTAATGGTAGTATCATGCCTGAGAAGCCAGAAATGATGGAAGAGGCAAGGATTTCTGAGGGGGACCTCTTGTATTAGATCAACTTGGTCATTAGGGTAAAGTTAGAGCTGCTTGTGAATGGAAGGCGCTCTTCCTTAGCAAAGGGAACTG